CATACGGCAATCAAACAGAATTTTAATTTGCACAATCATGCAAATGAATTAAATTCTCTCATTGTAGTTCAGTCGAATGCATTCCCGGTGCACTAGTCTCACATTTCAGTAAGTCTAACACTCCTACAATTAATACACGTTGTTCACCCAAATTGATAGAATAGTCAATGACACGACCTTATCAAAAAACAAATTTGTCAAGGCCGTGTATTCCTGTACAAATGAGTGTTTTTTTCCATTAGTGTTGGTTGTGTTGGATGTTACAAATTTCAACATAGTGAGACGCCAATAGCACAGAGTGTGGCTACAGTTATTTCTATGACCTTTACCGACACGGAAAACCATGGGTAAAGATCTAACGACGAGTACTGACTATGAACTACGAGGTTTAACCCTTGGGTAAAAAGGTAATATAACAGTTACTATCATATTACCTGTTGGGATAGCTTGCATCCTCAAATTGTTGGTTAATTAGACATTGATGTAACGTTGTACCCAAAAGATTTAACAGCAACTATACTTTCTTACCACGCGGATCAACCTAAAATGTACTACAGTAACTGTTAAGATTTACCGACGAATTTTATTCATTAGTAAAAGGTAATTATATTTATTTTACGGCATTATATATTTGTTTCATTATATTGTGATTGTAATGAAGATTTTCGAAACCTTTGCTAATTATTGCTAATTCTTATTCTTAATCCTTTATTTATTAACACGTCTTTTCGACGGTTTCCGTTCAAATATTATTTTAGCGTGATTTGAAAAGAGAGCCGAATATTTTTTCGAAGTTTAATTTGATTGTAATCCAAGTCAAAGTCAAACAATCAATATTAACTACATTTTTCATGGGTCTCACAACTTTTCAACCACACGTTTCAAAAACTTCTATCACAATCGACTAAAAATTTAATTTTAATCCCCACCGAACACCCCCTAATTAATGCAAGATTGACGATAAGAGTGCGAAAAAATAAAATTGACAGAGGAACATAGATCGAACGTCTTTATTACAATTAAAAGTGTAGTACAACAAACAAAAATTGTGATGTCTCCTTAATAAAAGTTAATTTTGTGTCGTGTGGCTTGATATTTTACTTCACATCGTACAATAAAAATAAATAAAAATTCCACTAGTATAAAATTAATTGAAATTTGTAAAACCTTTACAGCATAAGTCTTACTGCTAAAAAAGAGTTCATCATTAAGATTAACATATAATGTCCTTATATTGATAAAAAAATAATTATTAAA